TAGTGATTTTCAATGAGATCAACTTATATCACTAGATATAGAAAAACTCAGGTATCATATTGTTATGTAATATACTTTAAATAGATAATCAATTCGAATTAAATTTAATATTTTTTTCTTAAATGTTGCGGTAATTAGCAAAGTTGTATAGCTAAATGTCTTTATATAAAAACGAGATTTCTCGTTACCAGTACGCAATGTGTTGACGTGGGAAAAGGGGAGAAAAAAGAGAATATGACTGTCTTCCGTGCTCGGCGAAATCGAATTCGTTTATTCCGGGTCCTAGAGCCGTACTGTCCGTTGCACGAGAAAAGGCGAGAATTTGAAATGCGTTTCTGAGTGGTCAGACCTGAAAGAGCTCCGCCCGTTGCTTCATGCATTTTCGGTTTTAACGTGCGATTGGCTGAAATGGTCCCATACACTGAATTCCTTGCGTCACGTGACGCACATACCGTAAGATCTATACTGTCTCGCTTGCCTTCTGTGGTGCAATGGATGGTACTGACAGTACATCTCTCACATTTGCTTCGGCGGCTTTGCGTTTAACCCTTTGCCTTCTAACAACATGCCAACATGCCTCAAAATCAAAGTAAATATTCTTCTGTAATCAATTATTATCTTTTTCCAATAAACTATCAACAACAGTCGTATCGATCAGAGTTGAGAAAGAAATCATTAGGCATGGCGTTAGAAGTGCACAGGGGCAAGGGGACTCTTCCACTTACAGTGTTCGGGCCGCTTCGACATCCGACGCCTGGTCATTTTTGGCGCGTGGTAATAACAAAGAACGGAAGCGAGAATGAATACAACGGAGTGAGACGGAATTATAGAGAATTTTGTTTTTTATCGTTACGTCTCACTTCATCGCATTCGGTTTCGCCTCTGTCCTTTGTTATTGCCACGCGAGAATAGTGACCAAACGTTGAGAGCTGAGGCGATCTGAACATCGTGAGTGGGAGAGTCCCTTTGCCCCTGTGCACTTTTAGCTTCGTGATCGCTGAAGTAAAACGTGAGAGCTGCACTGTAAGTATAGTCCTGCTCTGACGAGATGGCGTGTTACTCGCGAGCGATCAGGACCGACCGGCAAGACGATTCTTCCACTCAGAATGTTCAGGTCGCCTCAATCTTCGATGCGTGGCCGACATTGGCCGCGTCGCAGTAACAGAGGCCAGAAGCGGGACTAAATGTGACTGAGTGAGATGTAACGATAGAGATCAAAGTTCGTAGTGTCTCTAATTTCGTTCTCTATCGCTACAACTCACTCCGCCAATAATAATCATGCATTGAAAACCGACGCGGCCCGAACATTGATAGTTATATATTGTAGAACATCGATAGTCCTGACCGCTCGCGGATAGCACGTCATCTCGTCAGAGCAGGACTGTACATATAAGTGCGTACATTGAATGGTAGGGATGATGAAATTTCACATGGCATAATCCAAAAGGGATGACAAGGTGGGTCAAGGTTCGCTAAAGACAACGTAAGGCGGGCGAGGATCATGAATCCGTCACTAGCTCTGCAAACAACTGGTTTCACAGATGCTGAAGAAAGGGACGGGAAATTAACCTAGAGAGACAGAGTTTGTAGGAAACAGGAGAGACAGGCCAAAACCGACACACAGTGCTCCATTTACCTGAAAACGTGGCCAAAATAGAAAAAAAAGCTTCCAGTACACGGAATCTAATTAATGGCATTAGTAGGTAGGATATCTATGTACGATTCCTGGAAGTTTTTAATGTTTTAACAGCAGCTTTTTCGAAGATATTCAACTTCAAAGCTGATGGTTAGAATTTAAGATGCTACTTTGAAATTAGATTACTGATTATTAGCTCATTCTATTAAAGCAAAAATTATAAATTACAATTTAGAATCATATGGACTATGTCGTACGCTAAATTAACTCCTCGACCTACAGTGTTATAACAGACTCGTGACGAAAGTTCAAACTAAATTTGAGGAAGCTAAGTGTCGTTTATTTTGTTTAAGTATAAATTAAATATTACTTTTCTATTAGCAACCGTTAACCTTTGAAGTAAATATAGACATAGAATAAGCACCGAAATTTTTTCTGTTCCTAATAAATTATTACCGATAAAATAGTTGTGTCGATCACAATTAAGAAATAAATCATAGGACAAAGAGTTAAAGTCGCGACGGAGGGAATGAACGACTGCGGAAAAATCGGATTTCCTTGATATGCAACGAGAGTTCCTCGTCTGCGTTCGACATTGTCTCGTGCACTGTACTGTTGCGGAGCACTCGATTCTTAAGCGAAGCTGGCCAGGTAATCCTTACGCAGACTCGGTTCCGGTTACCGTGAAAATGTTTTCGCGTGTAAGTTTATTTAATATAGCAAGTTCTTGAAACTTTTGTGATTTGAGTAGCCCGGCGAAGACTCCGCCCACGGCGGAATACCGCAGCGGATTACGCCTGGATATTAGTGTGTAAGAGGATTAACTCAATTACAGTTTATTAACTCTTTTCAACGAATATACGGTATGACAGCTGCCGGTGAGCCTGGAACTTTATGGTGAATCTGGCGCTGGTGAGCCATCAAAGAGCACTGCCAAAGAAATGCCACTGGATCTAATTACCTTGTAGGTATTAAGAGTGGTGGAAATAGCGATTTTGTATCAGAGAGGATAATTGCAGGCTGTTGGGAGGATTTACGCTCCACTAGCCAACTTTCAGAGAGATTTAACTCCTTGCTTCATAACAACGCGTCAAACTCGTGGTGAAGATTTAACAAACATGAATATTACTGAGTTCATTCAAAAGTAAATATTCTTCTTCTGTAATCAATTATTATACTTAAAAGGTAACATAGGCATTCAATATGCCTAGAATTTTTCTCTTCTTGCAATAAATTATTAATGTCAAAGTATTCTTATCGATCAGAATTGAGAAATAAATCACACGGCAAGGGGTTAAGATTCGACGTCTTCTATTTTATGAATATTAACCCCTTGTCTTATGATTCTTTTTCATAACTGCACTTATTGGAACTACTTTATCATTAATAATAGTAAAAAAGAAGAATTCTATGTTTGTCCTATGTCTACATTTATTCCAGTGATTAACAATTGATAATAGAAAAATAATAAATATTTAATTTCAAAGGAACTGAATGTAATGATATTTACATTTGCTAACACCTGTTCGAATATTTCGTCACGACTCTGACATGATATTGTAACACAAAGTGTTAATTTATTAATTAATCCCTCAGGGGCGGTACCCTGTTATTGGTTTCCTTCAGTTCCTTTAAATTCTTCTTACTGCGTTACAAATATTATAATTTGTTGATACTTTAAGGTTTTTTATATTTTTTATTGCTGTTCTTAATTTTATGAGGCATAAACAGTGGTAATTAAATCCTAACGAAGGAAATAAATGCGCTGAAGATGAAATCAGAGTCAGTACCCTGCGCAGACGTCCTTCTTGAAGGTTTAAATGATTTGTAAATATTAACAAGTTTTTACGAATTTGTGTTTTCAGTGTATCTCTATTTTCTTGTGACAAACAACGACGTCAGCAGCAGATGTAAAAAGTGATGTTACTTTTTTACAATCTGTCTACTTTTAATCTGTAAATCTTCGGCTCAAATATTTGGCTCACCCTGGATTACCCGTATGGATTTTAAATATTTCCAATGTATACTCCTGCACCTATATATACAATTTGAGCGACAGGCAAAACTCAAGGTTTATGTATTTTCCATCTTCTTTGACAGTAGATGGAATGATCAATATAAAATACAAATATAAATAAATTCAATGTTTTCTTATCCTTATTTTTTCTAATTTAGAAAATCATTTTAAATACATAGCTCTAACTAGTTAGTATAATTAATTACAGACTGTTTTCATTGGAATTATCTTCACTGTGGACACTTTTGCAAATCATTAAAACATTACAAAAATTCGGCAAGAGGTAGTAATAACGTTATTAATACAGCTACCTGAAAAATTTGTATCATGATGCTTTTTAGTTTAAATGACCTAAGAGATCTATCTTTCACTTATATGAAAACAAGTTTATTAAATACATAATTTTCTTTACCGAGAATTATTTACATGGTAATACTTGTTCAGAAACAAATTTATTTCTATCATAAAGAAATCAACTAATAATTGCTTTTAGACTTAATAATTAACAAACTATGAAAATAATAACGCTAAAACCGTTTGTTAAGGTTTAATCCTTTATTCTATGATTTCTAACACAACTTACTTCATAATACTTCACCCATAACAATTTACGACAAACAGAAAAGAATTTAATTTCTACGTTTCCTCCGAAGGTTAATGATTTACAACACAAAACTAACACGTAATACATACAAAAATAGTAAACAAACCTCAAATTTGTTTTAGCTAAAACTTCTCATCTCAAATCTAACTTGACATTACAGAACAATGGATTAATCCTATGATTTATGTTTCAACTGTGATCGATGCAACAACATTGTCAGTAATAATTAATTGAAAAAAGAGAAAAATTCTATGCATGTTCTATGTCTACATTTGCTCTAAACTATAATAATCAATAACAGAAGAATATTATTTATATTCGTTAAATTCTATTTAAAACATTCATCACGAGTCTCACAAGTTATTATAAGTCGAGGGGTCCACCAATCCTCCAAAACTCATAAAAATGCTCATTCTATCAATTAATACGTCAGTCCCGAACATCCTCATCCCAGAGCTACATAGTACCCTTTACTTAGTAGTAAAAAATGTATACTCGAACTCTTCATAATCCTCCTGTAATCCCGAACGGTGTTCAATGGAATATAAAATTCAGTGGATCGAAGCGCGGATATTGTATCGCGCTTAAAGTAAAGCCGGTTAAACATTTACAGGCTTGAACGCGGCGCGCGCGCGCGGCTGTTCCGAGTTTCATGCAGCGGGGCCCACAGGAAGCGGCCGGGGGTAGTAGATACTTAATGCAATATCTTCGCCAACTTCCCATAAAATCATTTTCCAGCGTACCTGGCTTAGATGCGTCATATGGCTGGAAGCGTAGTAACTCGCCCGAGAACCGCAGGGTCTCGCATAGAGCGGCTCCAGGTCTGCAATGGTCGCGTAACTTCCGGAATTCGCGCTTCCGGGTCGTGGGTCGACCCTAACCAGAACAGAACTTCTGGGCAAGCCGCCGGTGTCTGCTGCTGAATAGCTGCAGCAGGGCAGTGTTTTCCTAAAAGGACAGACGACTCTGTAGCCACGTAATGATTATACACGGAGTTAATTATTTCTGTAATGCGCGACATGCTCCGCGCCGACTATACCGCTGCGTAAATAATAATCCAACCGGATATGCGTTACCACCACGCCACCGGCTCTTCCCTCAGCCCGTCTTATCCTTTAGCTTTGCTACTGTTCCCGTGACAATTAGAGCTACGCGAGCTAATACGTAAATTAGTTATATTCATGGGGATTTTCGGTTTTGTCAGGTTTTGTGGAATGAAGTTTATTCCTGGGAATTGGTTTTTCTTTTAGGTATTCTTGGAATGTTGTAGGGATGCGTGCCGCTATTAAATTGTATGTTTAAATATTCATTACAAAGAATTATATTTTTAAACTGGATTTGTTTCACTTTTTAAACTGCAATTAATTATGTAAGATTGGTTTGGTTTTTGTGATTTGAATGTTTTTGAAATTGAAATTAATTTTTTCTTCCTTTTTTTCTGATAATATTATTTGTTGTTGATAAACGTTAATTTCTATTGAGCCTGGTGCTAGTATCGCCATAATGTATTTACAATATTTTTATCTTTTGCTACATATTTACATGTGTCGTTAGGGTCGCAAAAATATGAAAATATATTGTTACGAATATATAATAGTATTGCCTGGTAAGGAATAAAAAAATAATTATTGGTGGTGATTATTCCTTAAATAGAAATGACACTTTTAAAGCTATTTCTGAACAGCATGGTGATTGAACAAATTTAAAAGAGTATTTACTTTTTTCCCAAGAATGTAATTATAAGTAGATTACAAATGTTTGTATAAATTCTTATTTTTTATTAAGACGGATCTCAAGTAAAGATAACAATTAAAGGATCGAGAGACATTAACGATACTTCGCGCACATGCATGACGAATATATATTTCAAAATTTATTTTACTAGGAAGTAAATTATTCTTTCTACATTCATTAGATTTAGACACAAATAGTTTGTATATGTGTTTTATGGATATAAATTCTAAGGCAGTATGTACGTATGGCTAATATATTTTGATGGGACTTTGATGGAAAAAAGTTTTAATAAAAATATTTGACACACATTTATTTTGTTAGTTACCAATCACATTTAAGTAAAGAAAGCAATTCTGAAATTTCGAGTGAGAAATTGATTTAATCAAATCTCTTGTAAATGACTGATGTTAAAAACACGTCGCAAATTAACAGATGGTGTTGTTTGAATAAGAAATACATTTGTGTAAATTGATTTTGGAAAATGTAATTTATTATATGTGCACTTAACAACTTCATCTCGTTGAAAATATTGTTCAGAAAAATAAGTCAATTAATAAAAAATGTATTACTTTATATTATATCATTTAAAACAATGTAAAGCACATTAGTTTCATTTTTTTGTAGCATAATAAGAAATAAAAATTCAAGCTTCTAAAGTTAACTTAATAATTTCTTTCTGAATAATTGAAAAAACGATTTTATTCTAACAGTATATTGTCAAATGTATTGTAATGTTATATAAAATATGATTCAACAGATAGTAATTAGATTATAGATATTATGGTATTATACCTTTTTGTATAATTCTATAATTACATAACCAGAATTTGATTTTTATACACTATTTCGAAGTTAATAGCATTACCTTTCAAGATGCAAATGCATCTCAGACAGCCGCTTTTCCACGACTATTTTATCTTTCGTAACTTCTTTCCCACTATGATGGTATAACTTCTTTTAGAAATTGTAGTAAAAGTATGATGGATGCTTTCAAAGTATTTTGTGAGCGATTTCAACTCGTCCGATCGGAAATGAAGTGCACGACGCGAGCAAATGTTGAAGCTGGGAAATACTTAAAACTTCCAAAATTACAAAACATTTTTTCGTATCGCACTTTGGTTTACGATTTTAATAATAATCTTATAATTGTTATATGACAAAATTAATCTGTGTTATTAGTGTGTGGAGCGATGAAAGAAGTGTGATATTAAGCAGCTTAATAATTTTATAAATAATTTTATATGAATGCAACACTTATTCGTGTTAATCGAAACTGATAGATGAAATAATAGGTGAAATAAGAATAGATATAGTTCATTAAAGAAAGGTAATACTTTCATTGTTATATTTTTGAAAATCTAAAGTTGAAAAAGTCATATTGCAAAGTGACTTTGCGATTACAATTTATTTACTATTTTTATAATTGAGTGTCTTTGAAATAATAACTTCAATTCGATACAGTTATAGATTTCAATATTTTTCAATTTTGAAGTTCAATACATTTCCCTGTTGAAGTAGTCATAAAAGTATTGAATTTCTGTTTAAAGAAAATATTTTTTAAGATATTGAAATACAGAGAGAGTACAAATATTTATTACAGGTATATTCAAAATTGAAATCGAACAGTGTTTAAAGAAGCTAATTTACGACTTCGTTATTTACAAAAAATGATTTTAAGTATCGTAAGTAAAATGTTTATGAATAGGAAGTACATTTTCTTATATTTTCAAGAAAATGATTGATAGAATATTTAATATATCATCATAGAATATGTAAATATTTGAAGTTTATAACACTTTTAGCAACAGAAAAAACACGTTTAATTTTTTAAATGCAATAATGTATTTATATATTTTTCAACAATATATGACAGTATGTGTCCATATGGCTCAACTATATGCAGCAGAATGGCACGAATACATTTGTTTCAAAATTTTGTCAGCAGTGCGAATAGTTCATTATATAAAAATTACTAACTTTTAAAACTGTAATAATTTTCACAAATTCAATAAAAACAACAAAATGAATCCCTATATAATTAATTTCAATATAAAACATAATCCTTGAAAATATACATTTTCAATATATTTTCTCTAAACTAACTGATTTCCAACTGAATATCTCCTTCAACCCTTTCATTCCAAATATCGAAATAAAATAGCATGGTTCCTTAATTTATGCGCGATTCCCCGATAAGTTAGTTTAAAGAAAAATTTCCCTATACCTTACCAGAAAATATAGAATATTTCCAGTGAAAAACTTTCGACTGCAAACCGTTAAATACACAATATACGTCCTAAAACATCCTACAAAAAGGCTAAAGTCCTTTGGATCTGGAGAGTAGACTTGTCTGTTATTTTACTACGTGACCGAACCGCGAACCGTCCAGATTTCGACGCGACTCCTTTGGCCATGCTTATCCACTTCCGTGTCAAACGACTTTCCCATAAAGTCGGTGGAGAGATCTCTTCCTTTTTTGCCGGCCTCGCGTTACGAGACACGCCGGAAAGTTCCCGAATACATCCGCCACGGCATCCTCGTTTGATCGATTCCGCCGAAGGTCCTCGTAGCGTGTGAAATTACCGCTTAGCCCGCGGGGAAAAATTTTCAAAGAGGGTCTTTTCTCCCTTTGCAGCGCGATATTAGAGGCGGCGAGAGGTTCAAAAGCGGCGAGATAGGAGACTTGGGAGAAAGGTCGTGGAACGAGGCTGGAGATAGCGAGAAAACTAAAATACTGCGAGAGAATTCGTCGAAGAACGCCGGGTTCCGATATTTCCCCGGATTTATTGGCCGTTTTGCGCATGTAAATCCGCCCCGGCACGATTTGGCAAAAAGTTGAGCGAAATACGGCGGAATGCATTGCGCCAACGATTTCAAACATTCCACGTTTCGCTTTTTTTTTCTTTTCTCTTCCCGTTGCCTTTTTTTCGGGCGAATTTCCGTATCTATGGCCGAGGACCTCTCGACTGTATTTTACGGTGCGCTGAAACTTTCGATTTATTTTCCTTCATTTACTTTGTTTCCTCTGTGCCGATGGCTTCGAGTGGAAACGTCGTTCTATGAAGATGCGATAATGATTTCATTGATACAATAGGTGGAAGTAGGGGATTAATTATATTTGTGGATGTCTGTGATCTGTTGCTGGAATTAATGTTTCGTTCGGCTTGTGTGACGCCGCGTTTCTGTTTCAGTTGCTGCGAAATGCTTGCTGTGTTGAAATTTTCTACTGTTAGAAACAGTATATTTTTATTCGTTCGTTAGTTTTATATTCGATTAATTTTTTATTTTATTTTTAATTTACTTGGTTTGTATTGTATCTTGGGAATTTTTCTTTCACTAATCTTCAATCTGCATTGTTTTAACGGCTCTCTGGTTTTATAGAAACAACCCTATCTACTTTATTAAGATAACCTATTTGTATACGATGAAAACAAACGTGCTCCAATTTGTGAAATCAAGTTAATCATTGATTATTCTACTCTATTTTGTAATATATTTAATTACAAGAAGGAACTGCCAGATCTATTCAGACTTATGAGAAAGTAAGATCCGCCTAACGAAGATGCGACAACTATTAGGACTTCTAAAAAATATAACTTTTTTAAAAAAATTATAGATTTATATATCAAATGTCTAATAACCTAATTTTAGAGACTGATATGACTTTAACTATTACTAAAAAAAGAAATGTAAAGAATATACATTAAACTAATTTATATTCTTAAAATCTTAGCATTAATTAATTTTTATTTGTTAGTAAGAAAATATTCATCATTTATCTACGAAATTAACACTGATATAATATACATTTCAAATAAAGTAACGGAGTAAACAAAAAAGAACAAAATCCTTCTTATCTGTAATTACTTGCAGACATCGGGATAAAAACGGACTGAGATTGGGATTCCCTTGTGCTCTACTAAACGCGGATTTCTTTTCTCATTAAGGGTTGGTAATATTTTTTGTCTTACTAGATTAAAAAATGTAACCCGTAGAATACTACACTTTTTATTAGTGTTACGAAATATAATTCTTTTTCTTGTACCTTTTTCATGGTCAATATTAGAGTTTGTACGGTAAGTGTTTGTATCTTCTTTCTAATATATTTTTGTATCATTTATAAGTAAGTCTTTGTATAACCATTAATTTTTTAATTGAAAGTGATGACAACATTACGTAAGGCATAATCATTGCAAGTGTATGTGTATATCCGC